TATTTTTATAATAATATAAGTCCTTCTTGTCAATATCTCTTAACCACCATGCAAATGTTTCAGAAATGTCATCTGTGTGCCACAATCTTCAGGCAGAAATACAAAATTCATGCTGCCCTAAATACTATACTGTTCCTTTGTGATTCAACTGAGAAAATGTTTTAAATAAGTAATAAAACAGATAGCCCCAATGGAATATTAGTTAACAGAAATATGGTAAGCAATTAAATTTCACAAAAGAAGAAAGACAAAAAGACCAAAACACATTACCTAATTACTTCTGAAAAGGTATTATGTCTTCTTTTATCTTCAAATGACTTGTAACTGTTACATGTTTTCTTACATGTGGGAAAACTAAAATTCAGGAAGTTAAGTAAAATTAGATTAACCATTTTTAACTTGCAGATACTGATTTGTTGAGAACCTTCCTGACGATAATAGAATACAGAGGCAAAACAAGATGGTAGTTTCTTTTTGTTTATCATTTATTTTTTATCAGCAGATGTTCTGAAAGTCATTGATGTGAGCAAGAGTAATCTGAAGAAGACAGAGTAATAGTAGACATTTTTTTGTGAAATTGACTTTCCCCTACTGTCTCACTGTTATCATAGCTAATAGATCCTTTCTAACTCTGCTCTTCATTTACCATTCTTAAATTATAAATGAATCATGATTCAAATAGTGTCATATCTGTGCCACCTCAGAAGAGTTCAGTTACTATCAGTTGTTCTTTCTTAGAAAGTGCTATAAAATTAATTCCCAATTCATATTTGTGCAAATAATTATAAATATAAAAATACAGAACTCAATTATATTAATTATTCAAATTACATGTCATTATAAACTCTTCTATGCAAAGTATTATCAAGAATCATTGTATAACATTTACCCATGTCTTACAATAGTAAAAAAAATCTATTTGTGTATATAGAAAAAGTAGGGTTTTAAGAAGGAAAATTTTCCAAGTATTAATATATTTTGTTGTGCTATGTTTATATAAAACTGAATGTAACAAGAAAAAGTGAAGTGAATATCAGATTTTATATACTCTCATCAACTTTAAGAGTTCCATTAGAAAGATAAATTGTGTCTCTTCCTAAAATAAATTTGCAATGTGTGGTTAAGAATATACATTGCTGTATACATGTAAGTAAATGTAAAAACAATAAGATTAATTTAAAAAGAATATACATTATCAACTTTAAATATTTCTTTACTAGATACAGCTGACAGACACACTACAAGTTTTATAGATGTTTAAGGAAAGTGTTTATTTATTAATAAGTTATGAACATCATAGACTAAAAATGAGATGAATAAACAGATTAGAAAACATCGGTATATTGTTGAATTCTTCATTCAACAAAGTGCCAAACTCCAAATTAAATGACAAAATGCTTTAGAAATGAGAAAACTGATATAAAAATGGCAATCAATTTTTGAACATATATGTTACAAAAATAAATGTTATACATGATAAACTTGAGAATATAGACCTACTTCTCACAAGAGAGTAGAGAAAAACTGAAAGGTATAAATGAATTCCTCTTAAATTGGAGCAATGTTAACCATGGAAAATCTCAAGATTTCTATCTTAATTCTTATTTGATTTCCTTATTTTACTTTCTATAAAATTCAAATAATATCTGTCTTCAAATTCTTAGGCAAAAAAAAAGAAAGTAAAGAGGGTGAATATAGTTGATGTACTTTCTATACAAGAATGTAGACGATTTAAACCTGTTGAAATCACCATAGAAGGGGACAAATGCAGAAAGGAGGAAGATGGAGGAAATGGACCAATGGATTATAATATTATATACTAGGAAATGTTATAATTAAACTCCCTGTATAGATTTTTTTTTTCAAAAATAAAGGACAGGACGGTAAAAAACCGATCCTCTCTAGGGGTTGATGCAGTGAGAGGGAGGAGGCTATAAGGAAAGGATGAAGGAGGGTGAATATGGTGGAAATATGATGTACTCATATATGAAAATGGAAAAAAATGAAACCTCTTGAAACTATTCTAAGAAGGAGGGTTAGGTAGGATAAAGGAGAATGATGAAGGGGATGAATTAAACTAAGATATACTGTAATTGCTTCTGTAAATGTCACAATGTACCTCCAGTACAACAATAATATAATAAACAAAATAAAATAAATTAAAAACAATAATTTAAGCAGTATTTTAAAACATTCTTAGATAAGAATATATCAGTCTTCTCCGTGTTTGGGCAAAGACCTGCATGCAAGGAATTATTTGATAAGGAAAATTTGCCTTCTTTGCATAAATCTTTTCAAGTTCTTTGCCTATTCAAGAGGAAACATAACATGAATTTATGCTTATTTGTACTGAATGAATAAATAGAGTGTGTATATATATGTTTGTGTACATACCCACATTTTCTCTCTTTTCTCTAATCTCTTCCTTTTCTTCTCCTCCTCCTTCCTTTTCTTTCTAATTACATTGTATATTAAATCATTTGATATTTTGCCATTAGCATCTCTACTTTTGCTGTTTGGTTTTTATTCTTTCCTTTCTTTTCGCCTTTTATGTTCAGATTGATATTTTCTCTCAAACTGCCTTAAACTCATTAATTTTTCCCTTCCGTGTCTCTACTCTGTTCTCTAGTCCTGCTCTGGGCTTACTCTCAGCTCTCGCCTCTTTTTCTGACTTCCTGGATATTTCTCTGTCCTATTCCCCTGTCTCTAGTGTTGGAATATAGAAGCCTTACACTTAGTGATGGCTGAGGATATTTAAGAGAAATTCCTCTCAAGAGTTTCCTGCCTTTCACTTTCCAGAGTTGAAAACCAAGCATGTTTTGGAGAATTTCCCTCATTTGTCTTGTTACTCTCTCAGTCTTCAGTTTCTGGAAGTCTGAAGTACCTTGGATTTGTTTCAGTCAGATACTGCATGAAAACCTGTGAGAAAGAATTGGTCATTAGGTGCATGCTCACATTGTGGATATAATTTATGAGCATTCTAATCTGTTATAACAGATTATAAATGCAACTATGAAAATCTCATTACAATTCAGGATAGTTTCTTTTTGCCTCCTCTATAGTAAACTTCTAGTCCTGCCACCACTACACCAGGGATGATTTGATGAGATCTGTCATGGTTATCTTCTTTCCTATAAGGTGCTTCTCAATGTTTGGAATTTAGCTCATTAATTTTTTTTTTTTTTACTATTCATATGTGCATTCAAGGCTTGGGTCATTTCTCCCCCCTGCCCCCACCCCCTCCCTTACCACCCACTCCGCCCCCTCGCTCTCCTCCCCACCCCCTCAATACCCAGCAGAAACTATTTTGCCCTTATCTCTAATTTTGTTGTAGAGAGAGTATAAGCAATAATAGGAAGGAACAAGGGTTTTTGCTGGTTGAGATAAGGATAGCTATACAGGGACTTGACTCACATTAATTTCCTGTGTGTGTGTGTTACCTTCTAGGTTAATTCTTTTTGATCTAACCTTTTCTCTAGTTCCTGGTCCCCTTCTCCTATTGGCCTCAGTTGCTTTTAAGGTATCTGCTTTAGTTTCTCTGCATTAAGGGCAACAAATGCTAGCTAATTTTTTAGGTGTCTTACCTATCCTCACACCCTTGTGTGCCCTCACTTTTATCATGTGCTCAAAGTCCAATCCCATTGTTGTGTTTGCCCTTGATCTAATGTCCACATATGAGGGAGAACATACGATTTTTGGTCTTTTGGGCCAGGCTAACCTCACTCAGAATGATGTTCTCCAATTCCATCCATTTACCAGCGAATGATAACATTTCATTCTTCTTCATGGCTGCATAAAATTCCATTGTGTATAGATACCACATTTTCTTAATCCATTCATCAGTAGTGGGGCATCTTGGCTGTTTCCATAACTTGGCTATTGTGAATAGTGCTGTAATAAACATGGGTGTGCAGGTGCCTCTGGAGTAATCTGTGTTACAGTCTTTTGGGTATATCCCCAAGAGTGGTTTGCTGGATCAAATGGTAGATCAATCTTTAGCTTTTTAAGTAGCCTCCAAATTTTTTTCCAGAGTGGTTGTACTAGTTTACATTCCCACCAACAGTGTTAGAGGGTTCCTTTTTCCCCCGCATCCTTGCCAACACCTGTT